TTTCTGCTGTAAGGCTTTCCTCCTTACTGTTCCTGCAGGGAGTTATAAGAAGAAATATATATATATATATATATATATATACTTTGCTTAAAATAAGACAGCATGTGGAAGTCTGCCATATGGGCACTCAGAACATTGCCATTTCAATCACTGCATGTCCAGTATTGATTTTAAATCAGTGAAGCCCCTTAACAGAATACTAACAAAAGACTATCTCAGTGCATTTTGAATCAGAAAGAATAGAATTGCTTTGTATGTTCCTACTAGAAACATCACGAGTCCACATTTGTTTGCTCTCTGAAATCCGTATTTTGAAACGAGACCAGCCATACTTTCCTATAGGTGCACAGAGAAGATGACTTAAAGGGCTTTGTTATTCCTCTAATACCACTTCTTGCAGATTTCATCTAGTGATCACACTAAGAGAGACAGTTAAGTAGAATGGTGAGAGGGAGAGTCAGCAAACTGGAGACAGCAGGAATGGTCACATCAGACCTCTGCAGCTGACGGAAAGGAAGAGCCATGTGCAAGCAGAGTGGGGAGCCCTGTGAGGAGCAGGAGCTGTCCAATCATTCCCTTGACTAGGTGCGAACTGCTGCACAGTTGAGAGCGTTTCTCTTTCTTAATTTTTTTCTGCATAATTTGTCTACTAAGCAGTTGCTACTCAAACTTCTCTGAATCGGCATAATCTAAAAACAATTGTCAGAGGATGACTGAACAGCAAAAAATATTGATATAAACCACACACATTTCATGGAAGCGTTAGACAGTCTCTACCCTGATTTATTTTGTTGTACCTTCAAGCAAAGTGTTATGCCAAGGAAAGTAATTAATACTAACACAGCTTTATATCCAGGTGCAGCATGCACAGATAAAGCATGAATGAAATAAGGTAAAATATTCTGCTTGATGACTGACATTGAACAAGGATTCATTGCCAAAGTTTTTAATATGAAGACCCATCAACAACAAATGCCAGTGTAAATGATTAAATGTTTTGAGGTTGCTGCTGATTCATTATGAGAAAAGTTTAGACAGCCAGACTGTTAGACATTAAATGAATCAATAGCAATATGCTCAAATTTTACTTTGCTAGTGACTTAGGTCTTCAGTGTCCACTCAGACATGTAAGACCGAAAAGGTGAACTAAGCTACTACTGAGCCTGATAGTAAATGCAGGGTTAACAATAATATGTGAAAAATAATTCCAGCAAGAAATCTAAAATTCAAGCATTGCTTTAGAAGGCAAACGAGTGCAAGAGATGAGTCAATCTCAATACCTTGGAAGTAATACGCAAGCCGGGGGGGTGGGGGGTGTGTGTGTGTGTCTAGAAGGGAATAATGTCACAAATTAGCATGGCAGCAACTGCATTTATCTGCTTAAATAAGATTCAGTCTTTGAAAATCTATAATATAAAGAACAAACTGAATATTCAATTCATGTTATTTTCAACCTAACAGATGGATGGGAAAGCTGGAAATCTACCAAAAGTATAGGCAGTCATCTAAGAAGGCTGATAAAACACTCAGGAAAAGTTTAACTTAGAAAAACACTACTTCGTAAAATAAGTGAATCAAGTTTTCCACAATTTAACAGTATCTTATATAGAAAAAAAAAAGGTATCTGCGTCTGGGATATGTGTTAGTAATAAAATGAAGAATCTGAACGGTAGAAGTATATTCAGAAGGAGATTTATATGCAAAAAGGGGGAACTAAAAGGCCATTGTCCGCTGATCATTGTGAAGGGCAATGCCTGAGGGACTCCCTGCCATGAGGACGGCAAAGCCCGCTCGCTGCCTGACGAGCTCAGCGGTCGCGGCGGGGAGCTTCCGCCGGCGGGGCGCGACCACGGACAGCTCCCGCCCCGACGAGCCGCGCCCGCAGCCCCTGGAGCAGCAGCAACAGCAGGAGGAACAGCAGGAGGAACAGCAGGAGGAGCAGGGTGAAGCTCTGGATGGCTGCTTGCAAACTGAGGAACAACTAACGTTTCAGAAAACGGGTGTCCGTCTTTTAGAGGGACTTCTACGGCATGCAAGTCCTAAAAAATGAGGACATTTGTCAGTGAGTTCTTCTGAGTTTCTAGAACACAGCAAAATAGACGCTGCAGCACGCTGCCTGTATGGAGAGTAAAAACACTATGTTCACTCAAATAAAGGCTGTGTGCATCAAGCAGCTGCTTCATGTGGTTGCACTGTCTGACTGGGAGTTTCCAAGCAGATTAATTCCACTTGAGATTTTAAGAGCAAAGTCTGTGGGAGAAGATAAGTCTTTTTTTTTTTTTTTTGTAAGAGCATACAGAAATGCTATTCTGGTAATTTATTTTCCACACTTTCAAAGAAATCATCATTATAGAAAGTCGTGTGACAGTAACGAAGCAAAGCTTCAGATCCTTCTCCAGGCATTTCACCTTTTTCATTACACTGGGCCTTGTCTACTTTAACATACTTCCCAGCTCTTCCCAGTTCCAGATAGTTGTGTCTTCCTATCACAAAAAAAAATATAACTGTCAATAGTAAAATCCTGTGAAGATTAGATACATTATTTTGGTGCTGGATGGAACTATGAAGATTCCATGGAAAACAAAACTCTTAAAATGTACCTCAAGAAAGGTCTTGACACTCTTGTTCCCAGATGGTCACCATACTTCCTTGTGCTCCTGGTTACTTCACCCGTATTGAGCATTCAACTGACTTTCCTTGCCCTGCTACATTAAGTTGAAGTCTATGTCTTTACTTGCCTTCACCTAGCTCCTTTGTAATTTTTTTTTATTGTATCATCATCACCCCCCTCATCTTTTGTCATGTAACAGTGCTGCCTCGACAGATCTGATGTCTTATTGTAAGGCTTGTCTACAGACCTTCTACTTTGACACAGAGCAACTGGACTTAAGGGGCAAAGGGGGTTCAATCACATCTTATGTATGATGGTAGATTTATATTAGATACAAGGAAGAAGTTCTTTATTATGAGGGTGGTGAGGCACTGGAACAGGTTCCCCAGTTCTGGGAAACTGGGTTTCCCAGTTATGGCTGCCCCATCTCTGGCAGTGTTCAAGGCCAGGCTGAATGGGGCTTTGAGCAACCTGGTCTAGTGGAAGGTGTCCTTGCCTGTGGCAGGGGGGGCGGAACTGGATGAGCTTTAAAGTCCCTTCCAACCCAAACCATTCTGTGATTCTACGATTTGTGTTAGCTGAAAAACTGTAAGTTTGTGTAAAACTGAATCAATGTAACTCGGTTTATTACCCCAAGCCATTTTAAAGCATGTACTCTTTTTGTATAGAGTAAGAATGGTCCTCCCTAGTGTTTCCAGAATACACTGAAACTTTTTTAGGCAACTGCTTACTAAAGTGACTTTCTAATTTGATGGATCCACAAGCATGATTATGGGAGACCTTCTGAAATGTGTTACCAGGAGTCAGGGCCAAAGTATTACATGATCTCAAGAAAGAAGCTTGTTTGCCTGCCTGCACTGTCTTCTGGTCAGGCCAATTCATGTTTGTTGAGTTTTGCTTCATTTGTTGAGCTACGTAACTAAACTGATTTAAATATATTATGCATAGCATGTTTAAACTGGATTATGAAGAGTTGTACTTTTTTGTGTAATTTCAGTGAAGACTTGAAGGTATAAGGCTGTGTATGGGAGAAATTAGACTTTCAATCAATTTCAGTGCACTGTACGTAAATAATTATTCATTAGCTGAAGATCTCAGTCAGCTTTGCAGGACTGTAATTCAGTAGCAACATCTTTTACATGTAAACTGAGCCCATGATGCAGAAAGCACCAAGATTACATTTTCAGAGCAGAATCATGTTACAGAAAAACAGTGTACAAGAAATCTAAATGCTAACTGGGATGGAGCTTTAATCCTTTTACTGCCTTTGTGCTGCACTTCTGCTTCAGCTGTGGTATTATGAGGCTGTCTAGTCAAATTAAATGCACCCCCTAGTAGGAGTTATGTAGGTGCTTATCTTATTTGTACATTTCTAATGCAGGCAGCACCGTGACGGCTAAACTCTGCTTTGTCTTTGTGTGTTTTTCTTTCCTTTTACCTCTTGTAACATGTAAAAAAATAATGGTAAAGAAGTTGAAAATAGAAGAACTCAAACCTGTAAGCCAAACAGGGATATATTTTAGCTACTCCATAGATCAGCATCCACACTCAGCCACTGGTGAACAAAGGTGCAAAGTTAAAAAAAAAAAACAAACAAAACTACGAACAAACTTCTTGGCAATCTGGAAGAAACACGGTGCTCAGTGTCCACTAGCTGTTTGCAAAACCACCTCCAGTGAGCCTGAGCCGGAGCGGAGCCAGCCCATCTTACACAATCGCGCTGCCCTGCTCAGCCAATGCCGCAGAGCGGGGCTTGGAGCAGAAGCAGCCTCGAGTGCTGCTTTAGCATTTCCTCCATAACCACAGAACTTCCTGCATCACTCCAGCTCTCATTTGACACAATTAGTTTGCGAGCAGTTTGGACGGTGAATTCTTCTTACCCACAGAGAGACGGGGACACTGTGGCTACTGTCCCTGCCAGACCGGCCGAAGCGCCGAGACCGGGGCGAGTGTGGAAGTCTTGGCCTGTGTTTCGTTGCGGGGCTGCATCACCCGACGGGGTGCCCCCCCGGCAGGCATGTCCCCCTGCACCGCACCCCGGCAGGGCAGCTGCGCGGAGGAGGGGTCCCCGCGCCAAGGGGCCAGCGGCGGCCAGCGGGGATTCCCACGGGCTGGACCGGGCTATGCCGCCGCCGGGAGCCGTGTGGCGCCGCGCCGGGCCGCGCTGCCATGACAGCGCGCAGTGCCGGAGCGGTCACCGCTCGGCGCCACCCGGCCCCGCCGCTCCCCTCGCCCACCCCGCTCCCCTCCGCCTCTCTCCCTCCCTCCCTCCCTCCCCGGCGGAGAGGCGGCCGCCCGCCGGGCCCGTCCCCCCGGACCCGCGTCCCGCCGCCGCCGCCACCGCCCCCCCCCGGGTCAACCGGGGACAGCGCCCGCCTCCCACCGCAGGAAGCGCCGCAGCCGCCGCTGGCGCTTCCCGCTCGGCGCTCGCCGGTGGCAGGTGAGACTCCCGCGTCCCTCCTCGCTCCCCCGCCCGGCGCGCTGGCGGGGGGAAGCCCCTCGGGCCGCCGGGTGGGGCGGGAAGCCCGAGCGGGGGTTCCGCAGGCGCGGGCCGGGGCTGCTTGGCTGGGCGGCTGCGCAGCGACTGGGGATGGAGCGGCCCGGGCGGGAGCGGCGCCGCTGGCCCGTCACCGCAGCCCGGGGCCCGGCTGCCGCGGAGTCGGGGAGGACTCGGTGCGCTGCCCGCCCGGAGAGCGCTGCGGCTGCGGCCGCCGCTTCCCAGCCGCGCTGGACCTGCGCTTCGGCCCTCGGCTCCCCGAGCCGATTGTGGGAGGGCTGGGCTGGAGCTGCCAGGGCAGCCTCGACTCTTGGCTGTCCTCCGGGTTACCAGATAGATTGTACTTGTTACATGGGAAGAAAATAGCCTCCAGGAAGGGCTACGTCGTGTTTACTGCTCCGGCAGACTTCACCTCTTTCCCCACCCACCCCCCAGGAAGGGCTGCTCCCCAGGGCGCTGCGCGCCGCTTTCCCTGCGCGGTGCGTGTGGGAGCGCTGAGCTGAGCTGAGCTGAGGTGGGAGCATGGGAGATGCCTGGGAAACGCCAGGGAGTTCGGGTCCCAGATGGCAAGGTCCGCGCACGGTTATCGATCCAGATAGTACTGTGGCCAGCAGACAAACTGGGACAAGTTGTAAGGATCTCTCTGTGAATGCAGTATCGCTGTTTGTTAATCGTACTTGGGGCTATGAAGGATGATTAACCAGTATTTTTAAAATAGGTAGGTGCTACTGGCCTGCTAGTCAAGTGAACTTAATACCTCATGGAAAGAACACACAGTTGCATGGCGTGTTCTGTGGGATGCTTCTGCGGGAGAGATGTAAACAAACTCACAGGGAATACACGTTTTGTGGAAAACGCAAGACGCAGGAATCTGGAGTAATTTAGGATCTAAGTCCTGCGGCAACAGGTGGCAGAGCTGAGGAGAAAAGAGCGCTGTCCTGGCTCTGTCATAGCACAGTGTTCCTCCATTAGGGGCAGAGCTTCCTCTCGCCAAATGAGCAGCAAAACACCATCAGCTGCAGGGAAGGCAGCTTACAAAGACAATATAATTATAAAGAGCTGAGATTAATTTATTATTATTAGACCAGTAAAGCACCAGGGGATAAGGGCAGAAATATCCCTGTAATTTGTGCTCAAACCGCATGACCAGAAAAAGTTTTCTGGAGAGGAAACTGGGGCTTTCCCGGGTCTGTTGTCATGCGTTGTGAGGTGACCACTGTAGTCACTGCAGGACACTCTACGAGGTCGTGCAGTGTGGGTCGGTTGTGCCCTGGAGCAATCAGGAGGCAGTCAAAAGCAGAAAGAGCCTCGATGAAATGAAAGCAGAGCGTATCCATAGGATAGTCAAATCACAGTGCTTACACATTACATTCCTTTTCTCGCTAAAACCGTACCTGAAAGAAAATACTACAGGGGGCTGAGGCGCTAAGCCAGAGGCAAAGAAAAGCAGAAAGATACTGTGCTCATTAAAAAACTTGTTAGACTCTACAAGCAAGATTTCCAAAAGGAGTAAGACATGGTTACGAGTTCAAAGCACAACAGCATGCTGGGCTGCAGAAATTTAATGTCTTGGTCTTTGTCATTGAACCAATAAACATAAAATATACAGCTTCTAATACAGTTAATTACAGTTAGCTTCTAGTACTGAGCGGTTCAGATAAAACTTGAACAGGATAAATGAGAAGGCAGCATTGTTAGTTAAAAAATGCTTGGGAAATGCTTGTTAGGATTTATTAGGGAAATGAAGAAAGACATTGTCTCAGATTTAAAAAGGACCTCTCAAAAAAATGAGGGAGGGAGGAGAGGAAAAAGGAAAGGGAAAGGAAAGGAAAGGAAAGGAAAGGAAAGGAAAGGAAAGGAAAGGAAAGGAAAGGAAAGGAAAGGAAAGGAAAGGAAAGGAAAGGAAAGGAAAGGAAAGGAAAGGAAAGGAAAGGAAAGGAAACTGCTGATACAACAGTTCTTTGTTTTCTGGAAAAAGCTGAAATTGGAAAGATTTGAGGAAAAAACTGTGAGAAAAAAGAGAAATCTAAATAAATGTCTTTGATAATGATAGAAACCTCTACTAAAAAGAAGTTGGAGTGCTCCAGGTGACATAACACTTTGAGAAGGTAATTTTGAAGTTAGTTGATTGGCTTAAGACAGTCAAACAAGTCACAGGTTAGTGTTACTCAGCAGCTGAAACAAAGGAGATGAATTACATTTATAGACATCACACAGTTTCAGTCTGGAGATCACCCTGAATAAGGCACAAAAAGAGAGGTAGCTTGTAGAAAAGTTGTGGAAAAGGATTAGGAAAAGAGAGCTGGAAACAGCATACGTAGGTAGCTGGACTGCTACAGACATTCCTGGAGACTTTAATCTGGAAGGGATGCAACACTGCTGTCCTAGGGAGCTATAGGCTAGTTTTGCTATGTGGATGACAGATAAAACTAAGATCTTACTGTTTCATTTTCCAGGCAAATGAAGTAGGAACCTGAGAAATTCTGCAGTATGTTAAGAGCTACATTTCCAGGAAAGGGAAAAGAACTAAGCAGGAAGAGAGCTGATACAGAATGATGTATCTGCCCCAACTGGGGGATGTCAGAGGGAAGGTCAAGAAAGTTGAGGAAAAATGGAAACTGCCTTAAGGGGCAGTGCAAACCAAGGATACCTAGAGGAAATACAGATTATATATATATGTGGAAGAAAGGCAGAGAGTTGTGATGTGGTTTCCTGGCAAGTATCACCAAGTAGAAGGGTAACTGTGATAAGGGCCGAGTTTCAGCAGCTCTTGTGCAGGAGCACGTACACAACTATGAGGTATGGTCTGTTACAGGATGTCTCTCAGACATGGGAGCAGCATACAGCTCTCCTGTACGAAGCGGGGCCTTATAGGCCACAGCAAAGCAACATTTCTTGTAAAGAACGGAGGGCAGGTACTACCCTCTTCATTCACCCAGAGGAAATGTAGCACTTTGAATGGGGTGTTTGCCACCATAACAGGAAAAAAGAAAATAATAACAAGGAAAATGCAAGGAAAGCTTTTGTAGAAAGACAAAAGTAGCGAAGTGGTACAGTCATGAGAATACAGACAGTTAAAGGCTTGACATAAATAAAAAGAGAGGAAAAACAGAGTAAACTTCCTGACCTTTCCAAGACAACAAAGCAATTTGCAATCAGTCATAAATAATGGCAGTCATTTTAACAAAGGTATCCTTAGATTAGAATATATTCTGACATAGAGCTTACACTTGGGTCTGGCCTAAGCTTCCTGAATACATAACAGTCTGTTTTTACAGTTCTTAATACTTCCTCTACAGTTCTTAAATTTGCAATTTAAAAAAAGTGCTGTGGAAGTGAAAACATTAGTAGTATTACGCCTAACCTGTACATCTTCTGTGCCTATAGTTGTGCAAAACGTAAGGGAGAATACAGGAAACCTCTGAGCACATGAAACCTGAGGAACCTATGAAACTCAAGCCAAAAGAGGGGTGGAGATATGCAGGCTCTTCCAAACGTTTCCTGATTTTTATGTTTATAGATTAGTAAACAAGTAATGGGAGGAAGAAAAGCATCCACACAAAGCTTTCAACATATTAGCTGAATCATTACACTTGTCTGCATATCTCAAATGAGATATTGGGGTCTGTAATATTTGAATGCATTATATAAATGGTATTATGAGTTGGGTTATCTTTCTTATGCAGATTAAAGTTTCAGCTGTAATGAAGAGGTTTGGTCTAGCCATTTTTGGAAAATGATAGCAAAAGCCATGTGGATACCTCAGACAGATGTTTTTTCTTTAGGTTTCTAGAGATGGGCACAAGAGAAACCCCTGACTTTCTGCTGTATGGCTAGGTCCTGGTGGTTACCCTTGATCAAGCTCATGGTAAAGTAAAACTTCAGGAAGTTTACCTCTCCTCCTGGTGAAGGTAAGGAGATTTTTATTAATAGGTTTGACTTCTGAATGACAGGTGACTATTTCAAGCATGAGTTGAGGGAATGTGAATCTTTGTGTGGAGATGAACTGATGAGAGCCAATTTGTAAATTAGACAGCTGAAGATCAAATGGCAGAGAAAACTGAGTAACTAAGACAGGGAGAAACTTAGAGGGTTTCTGTGTCCCAACATTGTGATTAAGAGAGGATTGGAGTGGAAAATACTGGAAATAACTTCTGTGGCTTTGGCAAAAGAATGTTGTACAACATCATCTTCCTAACTTTCTTAGTATAATGACAGGTTAATAAGAAAAGGTTAAGAAAAAGAGAATTGTAAATAACTACATAAATAATATAATAACCAAGCAAATAACTAAGTATAATAGGGACCATTGCACTATGAAATTGCAGAACAAGTTTACATCTGGAATTGAAAACTCAAAACCTACTTACTAGATGTGTGCACATTTTATTCTCCTTTACCTGGCCAGGGTATTTGAAGTATGGTTCATTTACATTGTTATTTTTTGAGATATAATAGATGTACTTCGGATTTGAGATCTGTCCAGTCCTCCGGGATTCAGTTGGATGATCTCATTAGATTCAGAGTCACTGCAGTAAATCCAGCAATGTGCAGATGCTAAACATAACGCTGGATTTTAATTATTGTTTACAGTTAATTAAAATGCTATTTTTGTTTGGTTTGCCTCCCTCTGTCTTCTTCAAGTTCTAATTAACTCTTAACTGTGGGTGGTGGGATTAGGCTTGGCAGCAAGACACACCTCAAACAGCCCACCAGCACCTATGGCTGTACGTGCAGTGGTGCTGCAGAAGCAGAGATCAAATTCTTGAGAAGTTAGATAAAGGTTGCTATTGTTCTTGCTGCCAAAATTATTTTGATCACATTGTCAACATATTTGTTAATGCACAAACATGCAGGTGAGATACAGAACACATGAAACTCATAACAAGTTGCAGACTTTGTATATGCGTGAAATTAGAGCACTGAAGATGGGATGTATAGAAAAGTGCTGAAGGGGAGCAAGTGTTTGCTTGGCAGATAAAGGAACTGGCTGTCACTGTTCCTTATGTTAAACCTCTTGGTGACATTTATGGCACTGATAAATAAAATCTATGAGGAAATATCATTAATCGATGTGGTTCAAGGAGTGGCTATTTGGCATGTTGCTATGGAGCCGGTATTTCAGGTGTATAACCAAATTACGATCAAAGGGTTTGGTTTGGGTTTTTTCATCCTATAATGTTGAAGTTATTTCAGAGATACAATGAGGTTTGGTTTTTTTTTGCTTAAAAGTGCTGCTGCAGTTGGTTTCTAGGGCTTTCTTGATTTGACCTAATTGAACATTTTGACAGGTTGCCAAAGTATGGGGTAAGATTTTGCCAGGTTCCTGTCAATGATTAATAAAGCTCATTTGGAGGATCAGTTAGAGTCCCAAAAATAAGATTTTGAGTTGAAATTATTATAAAACCAATGAATGTTGTTTTATCAGTGGACATTTTCAATGTTGAATGCTGAAACACGACACTGTCATTAACAGTAAATAAGAATCTCCCCCTTTAGATGGTAATTACATTATTTCAGGAATTCTATAGTCAGCATGGAGAAACACTTTCATTCTGTTTTGTAATGACATTTTGAGCAAAATTCAAGTTGATGTTTTAAAAAATCATTAGACCATTAAAAAGTGGTTTTAACAGGTAAGATTTCCTCAAAGGTTTATTTCCTCCTCACAGGGCTGAAAGTGTAAATGCCAGCTTTCTGAAAGTCCTTAGAAAGAGCAAGTAACTGCTTTTGGTGTGCCTGAAGACCTAGTGAATTACAAGAAACAAAGTGATATGTTTGAAGGGAGGAACAGCAGGCAGTGTATGCCATTATCACTTCCTAATCGTCCCCACCTCCTCCCCAAGCTTCTTTTTATAAAGATAAAACAACGTGTAAGTTGTTCAGTCTGTCTCTGTGCATTTCTAATTTGCTTATTGCCCTGCTACACCAGTATGGATTTGTTGGGTATTTTCTCCTATAGTCAGAGGGCTGACTAGGGTAGGTAAGTTAGCAAGCAGGAGGCTCCTGCATGTTGGAATTAGCTACTTACCTGTCTCATCCATTGCTTGTTTTTTCATGTTTTGCTCCTTCAGAGGTATCCTAAAGAAATGAGATACCCAGCTATTATGGTAGTGCCAGGTTCTAATCTGTTCCAGGAGTTCGTAGCCGTGGGTCTGAGTGCACCAGGCAGGGTCTGTAGGTGTTCCCATGACGCTTCTCATTGCACCTGGGTCATAATTAGCTTTTTAATTTTATGTTATTGGGTTTTGGTTAACTATGAAAAAAGTAATAACACTGCTGATGAATGCTATGCTATAACTTGCTAAACTTCTTTAGAAGTCAAAGATTTATGCACACTGGGTAACACTGCCACTCTCCTGCAGCATGTTTGTACTGGGTAAGGTCACTTGAAGAGCCAGAGTTTTGACTAAAATAGGACTTTCCTTGGCTGGTCCTACAGAGAGATTTTTCAAGCTGGCCTCCAAAGCATCTTTTGGGATTCCTGGCAGATCAGGTTTTCTACGGTAAGGAACTGCTTCTTTTTTTCAGACACTGTTAGCATAAATATCATAACCTGAAGCCCACAATCACACTCAGAAGATGCTTTCTTCTTGTATGTCAGGCAAATTGTGTTTAAATTGGCATATAGAGAAACACGACTATTCGAAGTGTTGTAGCGCGCCATATTACACTGAGCAGGTATACATACCACAGTACGTGCTGTGCTTTGAGCAAAAAATGGTAACAGCCATTCTAAATAACAGACTCATAGTGCTAAACCCTTATATTGTTTCTGCTGGCACCATGGTAATATTTCTGTTCCGTACCTTTCAAAAGAACTTGGGAACCAAAACACTTCAATGAAAATTCAGTGCATATCTCTGAATTACTCCAGAAATTCAGCTCTGATTTGATTCAGGATGAAGGTGGTAAAGTGATCTCATTCACTCCATGTTTTAGGCCTGCTGAGATAAAGCTTGATTAAATACTGCTAAAGCAAGAGATGGAGAAGGAATGAAAAGATGATAGTGCATTATTTTACATTTTCACTTACTGACATGCGTAAATGTCTTCATCTTCTCCAGAGAAGAGATGCCAGGCTTCTATGTTCTGTGCTTAGTAGAAAGGTGAGAACTCAATTCTTAGTTTTTTGTTATTTTTAATCAGAAGTGGGGGTTGTTTCCCAGCATCTCTGTATTTCTTGATGTGTTTTCCATAGTGATGTTCACTTATGAAAACCAAGTGGATTTAGAATACAACAAGCTGCATGTTCCCTCAATTAATACATCCACCCCCCCTGTTAGTTTTGCTCCATATGGTTTTAGATTAGGGATGAGAGACCTTGCAAAGCGCTTGCTTCTGTCAGACCTCTAAAATCAAGCCTCTCCCCACTGGGTTTTAACTTTCCCTCAGTTATAATTATTAGCAACTGCAGGAGCCTTTCTAAGCCCTAATCTTTTAACTGAAACTGCAGGGGTTTGGGACAAGGGGTCTGGTTTCAGTAGGACTTCCAGCCATCTTCCCCCTCTACCTTCTCTCAGAGCTGTGTTCACTCTTGCTTTGATTCTTCTCAAAAAGGGTATCGCCTATCCACCACTGAAAGGAAACTGTGCAAAGTGGTGCTATCACACCTACTACAAACTAGAGGCTTTTTCTGCAGGTCACTTAAATGCTATTTCTTCTTGCTTGATAGGCTGTCCTTACTAGTGTGCCCATCTCACCCTTTGTCCATCACATTCAGTGTGAAGGAAAAGCTACAGATCTGAGCTAATGAAGCCTATAATTTATCATCTGTTTTTACTGTTTATTTATTAATGTGGAGTTGCTTCTGCTGTGATTTTTGGGAAATCAAACTAGCTCCACTCTCATTTCTATGAGATCTGGAGCCGTGACTTGGATCAGGTGGCAGCATAACATAACAAGAATGGCCTTGATGACCTGCTGGTTTTGTTTACCCCAATAGCTCACCAAGCCATCTTTGACTGATGAGTAGAGGATGCTTGCAGAAAGACTGGATGAAATGGGACAAGTGTAGGATTTCCTAACTTCTGGCAGTCAGAAGTTACGGGGATTTCCTGATCCAGAAATTCCACTGGATTGCATCATGTTTACTAGCCATTGATATATTTATCGACTATGAATTGTCTGATCTCTTTTGAACTTTCTTGAACCTCCACATCATCCTTTAGTGGCAGTCCAAATAGTCTTTTTTTAGTAAAACAGCTTTTGCAATAAAGGGGGGAGTATACACAAATTCCTGTGTAGTCTGGAAGCCTGCTTCAGGGGTAAGGCTGTTTTCCCCAATATTTTGTACAATTTTGCACAGTTCTAAATACAATTTAGAAACACAGATTTTAAAGATAATTTTTGGTGATAACTTAATCTCGCTGGTTTTCTTTCAGCTGAGGTATTTTTGCCCTTGTTCATTTGGTTTTGTGGGCTGAGCTCTAATGTCCTGTGCCATGTGCATCCCTGCATAACTTGAGAAGAATTCCCTGCTGTGTTTCTGCATGGAAGATCAAAACTGGATATGAACTGTTCATTGGAGGTTAGATTGTGCCTCTAGGTTTGTTTCTCTCTCTTTTGCTTTCCTTCTTGTTATTTTTCTTTCCCATTTGCCTGATTTTCATTCATTTCTCTTGTCACACATTGGCTGTGGTTCCCCTCAAATTCTGATGGCAGGATGGAATTGGATCTCTGTGCAAAATGAAAGCATTATTACATTAGGTTATTTTCAGGTTCCTCAGAAATCTTGAAACAGACATATATTACACTGTATTGTAAAATGAAAATCAAAGAGGAAAAGAAATAGTGTACAGTATTAGTGGTTTAGTTTCAGTTTTTTTTTCAGGAAGTAGATGTTTGCCCCAGAGAAAGACTGGAGACTGTTGGCTAAGTACCTTCAGTTTACACCAAAATGTATTGAAGT